GCCACCGATAAAATCATCTTCTTTCCGGTTGGATTTCGCTTAGAGCTACAGGATGTTCTGATACCGAAATATCTATATCTATATCTAACCAGTCACTATTTGCTGAACATTTCTATAGTATAACCACAAGACGTAGAAGAGCATCATTTGTACTTACTCAGCGCACCGTGTAAAAACAGGGCTGTGAACATTTTACCAGATTGAAGCCCACTCATCGCCCAATTCTTCAAGCGGATGATATACAGAAGTTGCCACTGGCAGATGCCGGTATACTTATGTTAGAAAGTTCTTGACTTGATAACAACGCAAGCGCGACAGATTGTGTAACGCATTAAAACTCTTTTGAAGGAGGTAATATCTGACTGACATATGTCACCACTAATTTTTTCTCTTCATAAAAGGACCAATGAGGCTTAAGGCTTGAGCCATTGTTCGCTTCATCAAAAAAAGAAATTAACTATGTCGAAATAGCTATATAATTTTACATTTTCTCACAGCGCAGATAATAAGTTAATAAAATAGTTAAAGGTAGTTGTCTTTTTTAATTCAGCATTTTGGCCGCCGGAAGCCTTATCGAATATTCCATCAACTGCACGGATGGAAGAAATTACCATTTATCCATTAAAGAAATGAAACTGCTCATTGTAATTACCAGCTTTACGTCGTATGACAATAACTTCACCGGAGGGACTGATTCTGTAATACATGTATGGAGAATAAACAAAGGGAATTATGAGTCTTCTGGGATATGGGATCAGCTGGATTAATATTTGCCACAATGCTACATGTATTAGAACGACACGCAGGGGAATCCGGCAGCATTTCTTTGAGTCTGCGAGAAGCACAATAACATCGACAGATTTCCATATTGTGGTTGGGAAAATGAAACAGCAAAAAATATGGAAGGAAGCTCGAGCGCTCAAAGGAAGGCGCGCACAGGAAACAAATGCGTGAAAAATTTCCTCTCAAAGAGACAAGAAGTGTCCTTTATAGCTCAGTGTTAGACACCGGTGTAGAGGAGGTGGAGGAGGGGGAAGGAGTTCGGATAAAATTTACCTTATCCTTCCATAGGGCTCTGTTTCGGACAAACACGCATTCTCGGTATAAGACCTCATTATTGAGCATTAACTGTCTAGAGAACAATGATCAAGAATTAGTAGGAACCACAGCCCTGGGTCAGCCATTAACTTTAATCTTACGAGACTGCTTTAAAATAGTAATTTGCTCATGCACAAAAGAACTATATGTGGTGAGAGGGTAGGCTTTCCTTTCTTCATTTAAAAAATACAGAGATTATCATTTTCCACAGGCTAAGCAGACAGTGACAGTGAATGAGACCAATAGTAACTATGTTATTTGAGCAAACATCCAGAGGAGGAAAAAAAGTAGGATATGGTCCGCACAACTCTCCTTTTGATTTTTTTACCTATAAAGCCAAAGCATTTATACTCTTGTCTTCTGCATTACGTGGACGCCAATTAATTTAACTTTTAAGGACAACCTTAATCTATGAATAGCGTTTTGTCTCGTTTCTTGATTAAATGATACTTACGAACTAAAGAGAAACTAAAGAGGAGTGCACTTTGTTGTTTATTTTCCATCTGATGGACGTCGACGTCGACCTTTTAACAAAATTATTCCGTCAGGCTTCAAGCTCTAAACAGCGATAAATGCAAACCAACAGTAACACATTTTGTCCTAATTCCTGATTTTTGGTAAAATGGAAAAAAAAATGCTGATGAAGCTTCGAGTCCCGTCTGCTGGTCACTTGGAAACTGTCCTATTATTTTTCACTTCGCGCACACTGTGCATGCATTGAGATAGAATCGGAGATTGGGTTTCTCGAAATAACCTCTTAAAATATAATTTTGTCGTGTGGTGTCCAAAAATTGAAGACAGTTCCAACATTACCGGAGTAATAATATGTAAAATAGCATAATTTCATCAAATTATTCCCATCTTATGAAAAGTAGTATAGAGTTGCCGAGTTTGAGTGCAATTTATGAAATTGGGCTCAACAATTCCAATACTACCGCATGTAGTTTTTACTAAATATAAACGTATTCAATGTTTCTTTACAAATACATAAATCTCCAGTTATACTGCTATTTCATTTTATTTTATTTCTAAGTCTTGTTCATTTATTTGGATTTTTTTCGGTGAGCGATGTTGTCATTGTAAGGTTTTAAACATTTCACATTTGACACACAGGGTAAAATAGATGTTTGCGCAAATAACGTAGTGTAGTCAGTGTGTGTGTAATTAAGCAAGCTATGCTTTTAAGTTAGGTATTAACCTCAAGTTAGTAGTATATATTAGGCCAGCTTATTGGGTAATCCTTATTTTTTAGTGTTAGCATTGTAAGTTATGTTAGTGATGTAAATGTTTTAATCATAAAAATTACATTTCCCTCGATTGTGATTGGTTTAAAAAACTCCTATTTTCCATTCACTTGCCAAACTGTTATCGGACAGTTTGTTATCAGACAGTAGCTAACTAGCTAATCACATTCAAAGCTGTAGTTTAAATCAACCAATCACCACCATTAAACAATTTACGCCTCCTTTGTCAGTCTTTTAATTCAAATATTCCCTTTCTTTGGTAACTTGGCCATTCTTCTTTCTCGGAAATTGTAATTTTTATGATTAATTAGTAATAAACCTTCATGTCGTCCAATTCGGTCTGTAATCATACTCGTGATAAACAAATCTAACCCTCGTTGCGCGTTCATCCGATTTTGTTATCACTCGTATGATTACAGACGGAATTGGACTCCTCTCTGTTTTTTTAGCATTGTAAATTTTGAGTACTGCAATAGTGAAGGGAAAAAAAAACGATGCATTTTCAAGTTCCGGGGGTTATCAGCTTCAGCCTTCGGCTTCGGCAGATAACCCCTACCTCGAGCTTGATTATTCTGGAGATCACAAACACCTCATCCAATAATCATTTATAATTCTTTTTTATCGGTATCGGTTGCTCTTAGCCCTTTTGATCCCTAGGAGTGATTGGCATCATATTTCTCGTTACAGTTTAACTGTTGAATCAAGTATAAGGTCATGAGAATAAGGAAAATGATCCCCAAACAGAGAAGCTCGAACAAGTTGAACAAATTCTCTATATCTTACTATTGGAGATGTACAGGGATCAGTATGGAGAATATGTATCCCAATCTCACGTTGTAGAGGGTTAAAGCTTAGTCCAATATTTGCCAAAACATACCTACTTTTATTATTAAAAAATGAGTTGTACTTAATTGGGTACTTAGAAAGCGAAAAGTTTAATCAGAATTGTATGTATTACTTGAATTACCGTAAAATGTGTAGCTGAGAAAAATCATCTCTTTTTGTACTTGGGTACTTAAGCCTTCCACTTTTTATCTCCGTTTAGAAAATTTATTTTTGTATTAAAAATCTGTAACCCTTTCCTAATCCTGTTATAATAAAATGAAATAACGCGTTTCGTTGCTTTAATTTATGATTTTTTCGACCCATTCAATGCTGGAATGCAGCCCGAACTTACGTAAAAAGGACCTTCAAAGTTAAAAGTTTGTGTTAAATGTTTTGCCCGGATGAAGTCTGAATAAATCATTTGAGCCGTGTGTTAAATTTATTTTTATATTTTCTAACATAGTTGAAAGCGAATTGTTATCGTGAAACGAGATGCAATGCTCGAAATGAGCATACAAGCCAAGTTCCAGCATTTGTTGAAGTCCCTGTGGGTCTTAAAACTATGCCTCAAAATACTCCAACCTTATACAAAAAAATTGAAGATATACGCATGTAAGGTGTTACCTTAATGTACACGTCAACGGGCCTGTTTTATTTTCTCCTCTCGTAAAAGAGAGAAAATTTCGTTCAAGTTTAGATTTATCCGCTACGATCTTCTTACATGTACATTTGGAAAAGTTTTTCATCCGTTGAACTTACAGGAAAAGGGGTCGAATAACGGATAAAATCCAAATGCATAGAATTGGCTAAAAGAGACTTGCCTTACGTGTGATGACTCATATTTTTCATACAGTAAAAATACTGAGCAAATATTTACTTTTTGTTGAATTCAAAAGTGTTTTGAGGTGCGGCCGAACTTCTCCCTACGAATACCTTTGTAATACGGGTACCTCGCTAATTCCTTACAAATCCTCTAAATCTCTGACATTCATGTTGTCTTTGCATTCATCTGACAAGTAGAGTATACCTGTTCATGTTTCTATAGACGCCTCAATCTTAAGAGTGACTTTACCGTACTTAACTCAATGAAACAGACAAATATCTTATTCGGGAAATTTTGCTATGTCCTTTGGGTTTTTGTGTTATAGTGTTTCGACTGCTCTTTTTTTGGCGCTGCGAATTTTAATAGTTGCTGTCTTTTATTAGCTCCAAAATGAAAAAAAGAAACAAGCAGTCTTTGAACCTAATTTACTTTTTTTTTTTTAAATAATGCCTTGACTTTTCCCAGAGTTCAAACCTAACAGCATTGATTAAACAGAAAAATGAGATTCTATCAGCAGTTCCCATTTTGGAACTGTAGTAGCTTGAAAACTATTTTTTCGTTAAAGGTCTAAACAAAGCAGAATTATCTCGCCATTAGGAGGCACCGTCAGTGAATGATTGTTGTTGGGACATTTCATGGACTATTTTGTGTAGTACATGCAATGCCTAAAGTACAATCTTTTCCTTTCTTAAATACTGGAAAAAAAAATTATTTATATCAAAGTAATCCTATTATAATCCCTTCTGACCAGCCTAGATAGAATATAAAATGCCGAGGTCTTCCCGTCTTCTTTTGTGAACGATTCGGTTTCGTCGATCATGTATTTCGTCACAAATTAGCTTAAGTTAATTTTCAGTGCAGGCAAATAACCACATACGACCATGTAAGTTGAAGAGTGGCTCAGGCGAAAGCTTAAAGAGAAATGTGACTTCGGCCGGGCTGGCAAACACGATAATAACATACAATGAACTGAGGATTAATACAGTGTGTTGTAGTTTACGTCAGCCTAAATGGTGGTAAATAGGAGTAAATCAGAGTATCATTCTGAAGTTACTGCACATAGCAACGCAACAGAACCAGTTTAAATTTTAGAAGAATTAAGAACAACAAATTATGCCCGCTGGGTTTTTCACCTGAAACTTTTTTTCTAATTATCTACTTAATGTTTAGTCTGTGCCACAGCACCGAGAATCACAAATCGAAGGTGGACCCAGTTTGGGGGAAGTCTTTCAGTTGAACCGAATCCTATTGACTTCGACAAGGTTCTAGTCGAGTTCCAGCAGTCACCAGAAACTGGAAATATCGCTGTAATTGTGGCTATTGCGGTGGTTTTATTGTGTTATACAACTACGTTTGTTATCGTAAGGAAATTCGACAAAGAAGACGCAAAAAATGTAAGTGTCGACCCGGATTTTGCTTAGGACCATTGTTTTCACGGGACATGCCCTTTCACTCTCAAACTCCGATTGTCAATTCTCCCCTCCAGCTGTTATAAATTTTCTTTTAAAATAAGTAATGACCATTTGCTAATAGTGGAGCTCGCAGAGCGTAGCCCGATAATTATACAAAATAGTAGTAACCCATCAAGCCGACAAAATTTGGATGTACGACCCTACGACCGTACAAGGTGCTTCTTTTAACATGCGCGGTCAAATGTACCGCGGGCACGCCAACACCACGGCTTTGTTCAGTAGTCCAGTGGTCAGTGCACTGGGCTCCGAGTCGGACGACCGGGTTCTAGTCCTGGCCGGGGCAAGACGTTGAGACGTGCGGGAAAAAAAGATGCGAGCTCCGCTTTTAGGCTTGGCTAAATCTATATATTATATCAAGATACCAACTTCTACTTGATAAGTCTGAATATCCTCATGACCTGTTTCCTGGATAATAGACAGATGTTTGTTGGAGAAATTACATGTTGATCACTTCTAGGGGTTAAAGGGCTAGGAGGAAAAGGCTTTAATGTTGACAACATTATTCGCTTTCAAGGTTTGTTGAGATCGAGATTTTAACTTTTAAACGCGTTTAATATATCCTAAAAAAAATATTAAAATTTAAAAGTGAAGTGACAGTCAATTAAATTAAACCGTTTTCAGGGTTTACCATGATTTTTTTTTTCGGAAAGGGACAAAAAAGCGAATTAAGAATATACATTAGCTAGCCGTGTGAATAGTTCATGCTTTATTATGTTTTTCTAGAGGAAATTACCGATCCAACTTCCATCATCATCTTCAAGTAGCACATATGAGTATATTATAGTGATTACTACTGGGGCTTGGAAAAACTCAGGCACGACTGCTCATGTAGCTTTGGAAATATACGGTTCTGAAGGAAAGAGTGGCATTCTTCAGCTTAGCCAAGAAGAGCCTGCTGCAGTTGATGTGTTATTCTCTCGAGGTAATTCAGATGTTTTTGTACTTTATGTTACCAAATCACTTGGTTCGATTCAAAGAGTGCAGATTGGGCATGATAATTTTGGAGATAATCCCTCGTGGTACCTAGAGGAAATTCTGATTCGGGATGTACAATCCAGACAGTGTTGGAAATTCTTGGCCAGTCAGTGGTTTGCTCTTGAGCGCGGTGACGGGCGCATCGAGCGAATAATCGACAAGACCTCAAATCATCTGGATTTTGGCGATGAAGTTGCAAGACGTTGGCGAAGAGGCCTCGCGGAAGGGCATATTTGGATTTCAGTAGCAGCCAAGCTAAGAAGAAGCCGCTTTACAAGAGTACAGCGGCTTTCTTGCTGCCTCTCAGTGCTTTTGACATCCATGTTTGCTAACGCGATGTTCTATAAGTTAGAAGGCAAATATGAACAGCCTATCCAAGTCGGACCGCTGAAAATGTCGTGGAGACAAGTGGTGACTGGAATTGAAAGCGCGCTTGTTGTGACGCCCATAAATATTGTCATAGTGTTACTGTTTCAGAAAGGGGCCGAAAAGTCTGTGACGAACAATGGCTACTGTCATAAAGGTACACTGATCAGTGGTATCTCTTGGTGTTTGTTGCTTTTTTCTTGTTTTGTTTCGGCTGCGTTTACAATTTTTTACAGCCTTATTTGGGAAAAGATTGTCAAAGAGCAATGGCTGTCTTCGATGCTTATCTCATTCGCGCAGGACGTAACAATCAAGGAACCAGTAAAGGTGTTCTTCACAGCTTTAACTGTCGCGGCCATTTTAAGGATAAAGGCGAAGAGATCAAAAGTACACGCCTGCGAAAGCCCTCAGCAAGTTAAAGCTGGGTACAATAAGAAAAATATTTGGGCACTGGAATTTTCAGAAGTGGAAAAGATGAGGAGACGACAAGCTAAGAAACAGAACCTGTCACGTTATTTTACAGAATTGGGTTTATACTTGGTCTTCGTTTTCTTACTTCTGGCAGTGTGCTATGGAAACAGAAGTGACCATCGGTACTTGATGACAAAATCAATCCGAGATGGACTACAAAACTTCGGCAAGGTGAGTAAACAATATTTTGTTATGATAAATCCTTTGCTGAAATTCCCGAGTTTGATTCATCTTACGGTGTTTCATTCCTATGGGACTTCAAAATCGAGTATATGAGGGGAAATTTTACTTCTCCTCAAGGACTGGTTTCTTTTTTCTTCTATACAGACATTCGGTGATTGACTAAGGGATTTTTTACTCTTGTAATCGACATTTTGAGTAGGAATATCTCTTTATAAACAGAGCAACAGAGATATGTTAGGGTGTAAGACCCGAACTCAGGACTGGAGAGAAATTCCAAGCGATAGTAGTATAATTCCATGAAGAGATTGGATTGGCATTCAATTCTACCATAGCAACTCACACAAACCTTATATTTGAGGGGATGGGTGCAATAGGAATGAGCACTTGGGAATAATAGTCTACAACAGTGCCTACGATAGGCCCATACATACTAACTTGTTTGTGTGACTATATATATATAGTGTATAATGTCTATTATATATATATATATATAATCAAATATTAAAACACAGACTTCTTATATATATATATATATATATATATAAATTTATAGGGGAAGTTTATGTTTTGATTTTTCCGTTTTACAGTGCTCGATACGTAGAAGTAGAGCGCAATGTATATTGAGATACGGAAAAAAAGAGACTATACTTTCATCCCTGCAAGCCTCTTTCGTGATTACTCTCTCATCAGGGGATTGTATTGCTAAGAATATTCGTACCATCGTTTAGATACTTTACAAATTTGCATAATAGGCGTGGCGGTAATTTCAATGCTTTGTTCAATTGTTATGCGGTAACGCTTTGTTTCTGTGGCGGCATGCGGACACGAGTTCATTACCTTCATTGAGTGATGATAATTCAAGTTGGCAGATGATGGGTAATTTTTCTTTGAGGCAGAGGTTGCATCCTTTGCTTGCGCTGTTAAAGGGTGATCTAGATGAAAGAAAGCGCCATGAAATAAAATGGTCCATGTTATTTTCTTTAAGGGTTCAGATATGTTTGCTGAGTTCGATAGAGTTTCTGTGTTTTGTGTGTCGGAATGATACGGTACAGTTTCTATATCTAGTCTTGAAGTCTTTTTTCTGTAAGTCCGATATATGTTTCAATGGTGCTGTTGTCCTTACGTGACGGTTGCTTAGTAGATTTGTGGTGACTGAAGGCAGTTTCCGTTAAGTGGGCATGTTTTCTTCTTTGGGCAGTTGCAAGTTTTGGTTCCCCACAATTTGTAAACCGTTTATAAGAGATTTATCGATTTATTACCTCGATGCGAAAGATTTTATGATGGAAAACACTGAGGATTTCTTAAACAAACTAGTGTTTCAAAATAATAATAAAAAAAATCCCACGCGTAAGACAAAGAAAGCAAGTGAATTCAATTTATACGCTAAACCGCAGAGTTATATTTTTAATTTATAAAAATGATCTTGTTGTGTCACACTGTCGTCTATATGCTTTCTATGCCAAAATGTATAAGACCAATGTTTGATCGAAAAATTAAAATTCTTATAACGGAGAGAGTGAATTTGAAATAACCTAAGTTTACTTCCCGGCCATCGTCAGAGGCCGATAAAATCGATGTTACTTCTATTTAACGAAACTGAATTCAAACATTCAGCTTTGCGTTTTTGTAAAAAAAATTCTGAAATCTTGAAAAGCAACCGATTTACTTAGACAAAGGTATTTTCAAACATAAGTTAATAAATCAGGAAGGAGTCATAATCTCGGACTTGGGCGAATCCCCTGAGGGAATTTTTGCCGCAACTGCTCATAATGTAACACCTCGGTGGCGCGACAAGAGAATCGTTTCAGAGAATCGTTCGAGAGAATAATATATATATATTATATATATATATATATTCACATCCTCTTCAGAACTCGTTGGTGAGACATTGTGAATATTATTCACCTGTGAAAAATTCAAGTTACCTTGAAATCGGGGTTGTTTAAAATGCGTCAGAAGTGTTTTTTTTTTAAATCAAGGTTGAAATCAATCTTGATTTTAAGGCTAAAAAATTCATGAGTTGTGAGTTGACTTGAAATCAAGATGTTTTTCAAAATGCACCAGAACCCGTTTTTTCTAACTACTTAAATACGTGTATATCTATCTATCTATCTATCTATCTATATATATATATATATATATATGCATGTATGTCTGTAGGTCTGTATGTATATATATATATATACACAACCCAATAATCTTGTATTAATTCAGGTGAAAAACAACACAATGTACTGGTGGTGGTTACAGCGTGTTTTCATTCCAGGAGTGTATTCCGGCAGATGGTACAACGGCCAAAAGGAAAACCAAACAATTTACATTGGTAATAAACGCTCTCTTCTCATTGGAATGGCAAGAATAAGGCAACTCAGAGTGAGATCGAGTAAGTTTTTTCTACTTTTATTGCTTTTTGCATTCCAGTGAGAAGGCTATTTACCCACTCAAATTATTATACCTTTTATGGTTGAGTCTGATAGAGAAGCGATCACTGTCCAACCTTAAGTATAGAGTCAAACAATAAGTTCACTGAAATTCCTAAAGAACAATATAGAAAATGCACCGGAGACAAATTTCTCGGCTGCTGACCATCGTAACAATTATTTGGAAAAGAGTTTATAATTAGATAGCTGCATTTTTTTATGAACGTTAAATTTGGGTTTTAATGGACGGCATTCCTCTGCCCCGTGGGCAAACTTTGAAGGCTTCTTAGGCAACTTTAGTTCTCTATAACAGAAATGTCCATGTCTATTTAAAAGTACGCACTATGAGAAACTGCTGGGTGAAATGAATACCAAAACAAACTTCCAACTTCCTGATCATGATCCTTTGTTTTCCAACTTGCAGCACAATGTAAAGTCCTCAACTATATGGAAACATTGTTCGAAGAATGTTTCAAGGGATACTCGACAGAGAACGAAGAAAAGACCGCCTACAACAAACCAGGCTGGATGCCTTTTGACAATGCTACTAGGAATGACGAGTTATTACAACCTTGCCCGAAGCCATGGCGATATCAAAATGCCGAGGAAACCGACACTACACCCAGGTGGGGACAGTTCTCATTTTATGATGGAGGAGGATTTGTAGCAGACCTCGGCTATGATAGCCATACGGGATTCAGTACAGTAACAAATTTACAAGACAACGGCTGGGTTGACAGGCAAACCAGAGTTGTCCTGGCAGAGTTTTCGACATTCAATCCGTCGGTAAATATTTTAGTTGTTGCCACATACTTCTATGAAGTTGATGCATCTGGACTGAAAGCAGCCTCTGTGCAAACTCGTGTTCTTTCACTTGATTCTACAAACGCACCTTCGCATCAGTTTTATTTGATTTGCTTGTTTCTGTACACTGTATTCGTTTTTCTGTATTTTGGAAGAGAAATGTTTAGGCTTTATAATCATCGCTCTCGATATTTCAAGTCCGTGTGGAACTGGGTCGAGATCTTCCAAATTGTTTTTTCTCTGTTTGCTGTGGTAATGTACGTAATACGACAAAGTAAAACCCTTTCAACTATGGGTAAACTGCATAAAAACATTTACGCAAATCTAAGTTTCCAAGAAGCTATCACTTGCCAAGAAGTGGAAATTGTCGTACTTGGAATTCTTATTTTCATCGTCACTACCAAGCTCTTGCGAATCATTCGCTTCAACAGCTATGTCGCTCTATTCTCCAAAACATTGAAAATATCTGCACGATCTTTGTCATCCTTTAGTATTATTTTATTGATTTTCTTTGTGGCATTTTTGCATTTTGGTGTCTTGATGTTTGGCTCTGTATCTGAGCGCTACTCTTCGCTGCTGAAAGGAGTTTATTTCCAGCTCGAGCTAACTCTTGGTCGAGTGAAAGCTAGACCAATCAATGAACTAGCTGAGGCTAGTACCATATACGCCAAAATATTCGCCTTTTTAATCCTCTTCACTCTCACTGTCCTCTGCATGAACTTCTTTATCGGCATGATCAACGATGCTCTTTTGGATGCTAAGAACAATGTGAGCGAAAGTGAGCCGCTGTATGAACTTATTGATGAGAACCGTTGGTTGAGGTCAAAAGAAAGAAAAGAACTTTTCGATGCAATCAGTAATACATTGAAACAGTCGAGAACTTCCAAAACGTCAGCAAAAGTAAAAGAAAAAGAATCAGGAAACGTTGGCCTTTACTCCAAGAACAGTTCCAATCTCAACTTTGATTTAATAAGTCAAGCTATCATAGCTTTGAGGGAGAAAAGATCCAGAGAAACAATATATAAACGGCAATGCAGCACAAGGAGACAATCTTTGTTAGACAAGATAAGCAACATGTTAAAATCTCTGAAAGGTGAAAGCAATGTTGACGGCAGCAAACGTAGAGAAAAAAAGAAAGTAAGATTTCAAGAGGACGTCGTCGAGTTTTCTCTCCGTAAATTACGTAGGAGACGGGATGACCTGTTACAACGGTTCGAGAGTATTGTTTCTGGGTTCTCTGAAGAAGATGAAGAATTCAATTATTTATTAAAAACAGCAGAGGCTTATAACTGCTAGGCTGAGAGAGAATAAAAAGAAAAAGTGAAAGGAAGTAAAACACTTCATCGAAAATTAAGGTAAAAACAGATAGTTAAGCAAAATCATCTTGTAAACACAAAGAAATAGCAGGAATTCCATCCAACCGTCCTAATTACTTCACCATCTCCTATTGTAGGTTGAGCACCATTCAACCAGCCTGAGCGGACTGTATTACAGTGATAATCATCCACTGGCGTTGTTGGCATTCTTGTCCCTGCATCTCCATCAAAACGATACCACCTCTCAAGTAGCAGTTTATCACACAAAACTTTACCATGTAAGGGTGTAACGAAAGTCCTCTTTCTGTCAGCGTCGCTCAGGGTTGAGTAGTTATAACAACTGTCGGCTAGAAAGTTAATTGTAATTCAAAAAGGAAATGATAATCACATTTTTTTTGTTTGACCTTGATCGCAAGAACTCATCATCATACATCGTCAGGATTATTTATCCGTTATTAACGCTCTCTTTTTAATAAAAGCAGGCACATGACACACTACAGCGACGATGTTATGTAAAACATACGGAAAATTTTGAACCAGCTCGGCATTGACTTTCCAATCACTTTCTTTTCTTAAAAGAATAAATTGACTATGAGGCGAGCGCCATTCCCCCAAATTATTTTTACAACGAGAATCTCGCCACCCTTATATTGAAGGCATACCAGAATCGAAAATGAATTCTGGCGATGATCCATATGTAGATGAGTGCGTTTAAACGAGGGCGTAATGGGGAAATCGTCAGTCAGGTCGAATAAAGTTGGCTTGAAAAATGATCAAAAGTGGAAGCAAGTTATGCATTTAAAGTGTCTCTCGTTTAATGCGTGGTGTTCGGCAGCAGAAGCGGCTTTTTTGATGTGCGATAGCTTTCTGGCTTAAGTTGAACAGTTCGGCTTTTTTTCAACTTTGCCGCCATCTCTGGGCTAAATGTTTCTCTCCCGTAAGTAATTTTTCACTCGCCAACGCCGAATTTCGAGAAATTTTCTCTCATTTTCGCTAACGCAGCTCTTTATTCTGTATACCGATGAGGGCGACTTCGCACTTAGCCTCGTTCTCACGCCGTAATTTCGGCACCAGATCACTGAAGTCCGAGAACTTGGAAGCGGTCTATTCCAACGCTTCTAAGGAAATGTAGAATGACGAAGACATGAACACACAAACAGACGAGAAAATGAAGACTCAGAAAGCCGTTATTTCTAAGTGGTTATTAAGTCTATCGCTGAAACTCCATGAAATAATATTCCCATAGAGCAAGATAAAGGAACAGAAAACAAACCTTCGCATTCAATTCCGTTCCAGAAATAATGAGTTTGGCAGGTGCAATTGAATGAACCCACAGTGTTTGTACAATTGGCGCCACCCTTGCTACAATTATTATTAACCAAAGTACACTCGTCGATATCTGAAGATGACAGAAACACATTGATAAGAGGTCTGGTGGAATGAATAACACAAAAAGATTGTATTAGCTTCTACACAGTTTTATTTCCAAATAGCTAATTTCGTCGCTTTTTATGATCTAAGCTCTATCTGTTATTCAGACTATAAAATAAACGGCACATGAACAAGCATGCAGAAGTTCAAGAAAAGGACCCATATATAGACCTTTTTGTGTTACGACAGGAATGCGATGCGGCTTTTGTGTAAAATTGCTGATAGTCAACACTCACCTAGGCATGTTTGGCCATCTCCTGAAAATCCTTCTTTACATTTGCAGCTGTAGGATCCAAGGGTATTTGTACATTCAGCATTTGAATCACATTTGTGTTTTCCCAGACTGCACTCATCAACGTCTCAAAGAAAAAAAAAATTAATTTAATTACCAAGGTTTCGATTTTCTACCATGCACAGACAACTAATAACTCATATTTTAACTCATATCTTTTTAAAATCTTTCATTCCTCAGTGCGTTTTTTATATCAAAGCACTATCAAGTATAATGCCAACTACGATGGGACTTGTAGTTACCCCTCCACCTATAGTACCACCCACTATTAAACAAGATGATGACATATTGTATAACAGATCTAGTGTCTTGAACCTCTTATAAGCTTCTTTATACAATCGAAGCCGTTTGTGATAGTATTTGTATAATAATGTTATTTCACTTATTGGGTTTTTGTTCAATGATATGATTGGTTTTTTTAAGACCCTCCAGAACCTGGTGGACCACGTATACTAATTACTCTGTTTTGTCAGTCTTGTATCAGCACCAGAAAAGATAACCATACATATAATATGTGATTATACTAAATTAACTGATTTATTAATAAGAATCTGACTGTAAGAACCACCATCCGACATTCCTTGAGCTGTTTGAATTCTTACTTCAAATTCAGCAGTTACACTAATGGGATAAAAAAAACAGTAATGTCTGTACATTTATTGTTTGTGTCTTCAATATATAGACGAACAAAATATTAGGATTGACGCTCCGAGGATTTATATGTATATTACAAGATGGGCCTTTGTATCTGTCTTGAAAATATATCTCATAAATAACAGATATGTCAAGAGTTATATGACTAGTTGATGTTTCGAAAGAGAAATGGGTCCTATTTGATATTAAATCACTACCTCCACTTGTGAGAAATCCTACCATTATACTATTACTATTATCATGTGAAAGGTAAATATATAGATTTAGCCAAGCCTAAAAGTGGATCTCGCATTTTTTTTTCTCCCCGCACGCTTCAAGGGCACAACGCCTTGCCCCGGCCAGGACTAGAACCCGGGTCGTCCTGTATTAATCACTCATTGCCTTTCATATCAAGACCTTATTGATACGTCTTAAGTAAAAGTTTTCCTGTCAGCATATTTCTTGTTAACCTCATCTTTATCACCGTTTTCACTGCTGTCATAATCTGGTATTAACAACCTGCATTTTAATGTCTGGGGTAACAGATTGTCCATATCTATTTTCTTGCCTGTGACGTGTTTCATCTGCCTTAAGGTTACAGTTTCATTATCATATTGTGTTCTACTGAGGTCATAAATGGTCTTACCATCAGCATCCCATCTGATACCAATTCCCAATTTCAACAATTGGTTATCATCACTTTTCTTTCTGTATCTTTTCACACTAGTTACCCTGTTAACAGCATTAGTATTTGAGAAGTGAGTGTGTGCAAGGTCTTATTACGGTTGTTATCTGTGTTTCTATCACCTTTTTACTTCCGTTTCACTTTTCATAGCTGATTTAAAACTTTGCACACAGTGCTCGGCTAGACCATTGCTAGCAGGATGGTATGTTGCAAGTGAAAGATGTTTGCTTCCGTATCTCTTGAGGAACATCGGAAAGTCCTCAGATATAAACTGTGGCCCATTGTCACCAACTTACTGGGATGGCACACCATATCTAGTGAATAGACTCTGCAATTTCTCGATGGTTTTAATTGAGGTCGTGGTGTCCATTTTTTCTTTTTCCATTCCTCTCGAATGGGCATCCATAACAATCAAAAACATGCAGCCGAGGAAAGGTCCAGCAAAATCAACATGGATTGGCTGTCAGGGTGCCGACGACCATTCGCATAGATGTATAGCTCCGGTACTAGGTTCAGCCTCCATTAGCTGCCAACCCGAGCAGGTCCTCGCGGCTTCCTCGATTTCCTTGTGGATTCCTGGCCACCAGGTGTATCTTCTTGGTAGTGCCGTCATCTTCATCCCTCCAAGATGTCCTCGATGGAGTTCTTCAAGCACTTGTGGACAAAGTTTTGGGGGTACAATGACTCTGATTTCCTGCATCAAACAGCCTAAGTGTACTCTTATCTCATCCCTGCGAGCGTAGAAGGGGTTGAGTACAGGAACATGGCTGGTTAGCCATCCTTTATCCACCATCTCATGGATTGACCCAGGACAGGGGGCCTTCGGGCTTCTCTTCGGACTTTTTCAACCTATCTGGTAACGGCTCCAACTGTTTCATATTGAAAACATTCACTGCATGCACAACTTTTTCTGCTCTTTCTTTGGTTTTAAGTGGTAGCCGAGAAAGGCCATCTGCACTGCTGTGCACTTTAGTATTCTTGTGCCCGAATTGGTGGTCGTAGCCAGCCATGAATGATGCATAGCGCCGAAGCCTGGCTACTGTACTGGAACGCTCCTTCGTGGATGGAAGATAGATCTTAACGGCTAGCGATCGGTGTAAGGTTGAAAAATTTTTTTCATCTTTGTGAGTGTCCTGGAAGCAAAAGCAATGGGTGTCTCAGTCTTTCATCACGTGGGATAGCACGGCACCAATTCCCACAGGGCATGCATCACAAGGAAGCCTTCGTGGGAGAGTGGGATCCTAATGTGTTAATAGTTGCTCTGAGGTGATCATTTCTTTCAGGTTGTGGAATGCTGTTTCGCATCGTTCCGTCCATTTCCATAGAGAGTTGTTTTCTAACAACTGCTTCAGTCTGTAGTAGTAATTGACTAGCACCGGGAACAACCTTACTTCAGCTACATTGCATGGGCGAGGCGCTTTCAAAACTGCTTGCACTTTCTCTGGTGACTTGTGGCTGGGACAGGCACATTTTGTGTGGCCCATTCACTCCCCTCCACTTTAGTGAGAATACCTTCATTCTGGAGTGTTCACAGCTCTTTTTCCAACTTTGGCTTAAATACCTCTGGCATGAGTCTAATGTCTAATGCTTAGCTACCAACTTCAAGAGTTAACTTCCCTTTAAGGAGGATCCGCATATTTCAAATTTGCTAAGGACTTTTGGAACGTAGACCGTAGACGAAGCGAAACAAAAGAGGTATTGAGCAAAAAAATAACACAGCACGCGCGTTATAAAACTTGTACTTTTCTTAGTTGTCCCACTCAAGAAAAAAAAACGTTAAATAACCAACTGTTACGTCCTCTTAGCAGGAAAACCTCCGCAGCAATTTGGTCATGTTTTTACCAAAAACTCAAGGGAAGCTGTCGCAACGTCAGAGACAGTGAACGCGTCGAGTTACAAGCTGGATTGCGTTGCAGCAAGGGTTCACTGAGGTTTCCAT